TGGCTCCCCACATATCTGAAAAAGGACTTTTTATTGTCCTTGATGCTCAAAGCTAGTTGGAGTTCAGTTGCAGCCTTCGCTTTCCTGGTCTGCTCCTTACAGGACCAGACCAGTGCAGAATAATCCTGCTTGGAGGCGACTCCCATCCTCCATCCTTTGTAGGCCTTTCTTTTTAGCCTCAGGAAGTCTGCTAGGTCCCTGGAGAGCCACGGGGGCTGCTGTGCCCTCTTGCTGCCTTTCCTCCGAGATGGAATAGACTTAGTTTGTGCATTGAGGATCGCTCCCTTGAGGAGCAACTACTCTTCTTGAACTCCCCTCTCCCCGTGGTCATGGTCCCTTAGGGCCTCACTGACAAGCCTCCTGAGCTTGTCAAAGTCGGTTTTCATGAAGTCAAGGACTTCCGTGTTGCTGACTGACTTGCCAGCTTTTCTGTCAGCACCCACAGGCCTACTTGATGTGCTGAAAGATCATGGACTTAGGCCCATCACAAAATACTATAAGCCTCCCTTAATAAGAGAAGCTACTGGGGACACACCAGCTAATTGTGTGGGACAAATATGAGAAAACAGGAAGGGGAGTGAGTTTATGGGTTAGTAGTAAGGGATGTGGGAGGGTACCCTGAGCAGAGCACACTGGCCAGCACCCACTATACCCAAAATGAGTTGAGGGAGCCTGTGGATGCTGACCAGTGAAATTCAGCCTGGTCATGTAAGCAAAGGAGTGAGAGGAAGACAGCTCCACCCTTGGCCAGGTTTCTCCTGGCCAGAGGCTCCTTCCTGGTCTGGTGGACGGCCAGTTTGGCCAGAACCAGATTGACCAGGAGGTCCCAAGGCTTGGTGGGGCCACAGACAGGGCACGCTTAATGGAAGAGCTGTGGGAAGAAGTGCAGCTAGAACCTCAACAGGAGACTCTGAAGGAGGCAGAACAAGGACTGCAACTTGGCACATTGCAAGTAGGCATGTGTCAGGGCCTCCTATTGGTAAAAGGGGCAGGTGTCGAAGGCTGTCCATACGGTGTGCCAGATACACACCTGTAGTGACAGCTCCTTGAAGGAGCTGCCAGCTGAAGTCCCCACATAGTTCATGGGTATGGGATCAGGATGAAATACAGACTTGTCCACTGAGGACTTTGCCCCTGCCCTTGCTGAAGGTGCCTCACCACTTTTCTGGGCAGGATGCAAGGATGGGATGATGGAATGTGCGGAGGGTGAGCATGTAGAGCTTGCCATGATGAGCTGTTCGGAGGCAGACCAGCTTCATTTCCCCCAGCCTTCTGAAATGGTGGGACAAGGAGCAACATAGGACCTGCTGAGGCAGTGGCCCCACAATGAGCTCTAGAGGGCAGGAGGATACCCAAGCATGGGTACTGCCCTCTTAAAGGACCTGGCTGATATAGTTGAGGGCAATGGGTGGCAGGGTAGCTTTTGCCTCCTGGAGCAAACAGCATGGAGTACACGGCCTGGGCAGCTCCATGCTCCTGGCCCGTGCAGAGGGATCCATCAACCCCTGCTCGGCATAGTCCCTGATACGAGTGGAGTTGGCCAGAACCATCCTTCGGTGCACTCAGGGCATCTCTGTTACCAGTCATCAGCTAAGGATTTTTCAGCATGGGTTTGGCTAGGATGTTGGTGCCCTAGGTGACACTGTTTGGAGACTTGGAGGTGGGGACCAGCCTCCAGGCCCCGAGGAGGTCCTGGTAGCAAGTCAGCAGTTGCTCTAGGTCCTGCACTGGGGAGACTTCATAAATAGAAGAACTGCCAGTCATATCAGAACTTTCGGAGATAGTGGCACAGTCGATCAGGCACCATTCCACTTTGCTACCAGCACCATATAGGAGCCTCCACAGGGCTTGAAGGTGGAAGATGTGAACCTGGCTGCAGATGCAGGCCAGGCCTTACCTGACTTCCCACAAAGGGAGGCTCAGGACACTTGCAGAGACCCTGTGTTGTCCCAGCCAGAAGAACCCCTATGCCCTTCCCTGGAGACTGGCCAGGAGCTCCAGGGGTATGGGCAGGGTGTTGAACAGTGCCAGGGCATGGACAGGACCAGCACTTGATGACCAGCACTTTCCTGCAAAGGCAGAAACACTGGGGTAGGCCCACTCATGTCTGCAGCTGCTCACCCAGACCTCCATCTAGTGCCAGTTCTCTGGCAGGTACAGGTAACTGGTGAACAAATAGACTCCCAGAAAGAGCAACTAGCCTGTACTCCATCAAATGTTCTGGAATAGAGGTGGGAGCAAGCCCACTTGCTACTCGTCACCTACTGTCAAACCAGAGCTCCTGCCCCAGTTAACTTGGGCAGAGGAAGCCACCAAGTAGATGGACTGGCAGGCCTCCACCTGTCCCAGGTTGCCACGTCCTGGATGGCAAGGAATACATCGGCATCATACACTGGAAGGACCAGTCCTGTCACCTCATGACAGGTTTCTCAATCACCACCCTCTTACAGAGGAGCCAAGAGGAAGGGCTCAAGGGTAATGGTGTAGAGCTGGCCTGACAGTGGACAACCATGGCGCACACCCACCTCAACAGGAGGGGCTCCGACAGTGTCCAGTTGAGCTTGACTAGACACTCTGTACCCAGTAGCAGTTACTCAGAAAAGATTTTATACTGTTATTCAGTTAAAAAAGAAGACTTTTTTACAGAGGCAAATTTTAAAGTTGTTTGTTCTCTTTAGTTAGTGCCTAAGAAAGATTTAGTTACTATTGAGTACACTTAAAACTGTTCTAAATCATGCATTATTTCCAAAATTAGCTGTTAGAGTAATTCTATTTAATCCAATAAATTTCAGTACATAATTAATAAAGTAGCATTTTTCTTAGCACACGCATTTTGAAAATTAAATGCAACAGGTGGCTTATAATGCAAGGATGTAAGCGATACCCAAGTTTAGAGAAAAGGCTCAATACCAGAGGTATATTTTTTCATTATTTTCCATATACGTTCAAATATAGTCACCAGTATGCATACATGTGAATGCACACATACACATTTTAGGATATGAACCTTAGTATTTGTAGACCATCATGAAAAAAATAAGAGAATTCTTGATCCCTTTTTAAAAAAGCCTAAACGAGAGGGAGAATTTATCAATTCACACATTTTTATGTCTTGATATTCAGTTTGGATCTCCACAGTATCCATGTTCCTTATGTGGAAATACTCCATCTTTGATGTAATGTCTTACTGATTAGTAGCTTTCTTTAGCTTTATCAGCAACCTCCTCAGAAAGCTCTAAAGAACCTTTTTCTGCAGCAGCATCGTTTGGGACTTGGTGTACAGTTTCATTGTTAACCATATCTAATGACTCATTCATTTCATGATCTTCATATGTTGAATCACCTCCATTGACTTTTTCTTCTGGTGCTTTTGGTTTTGTCTCAATAGCTTTAGCTTCCACCAAAATGTACATCTCTTTCTCCTTACTCCCCTTCTGTTCATGAAAGTAATTAATTTTATAAACACACACAAACAAATGAAAGCCATGAACACCTTTGGAAAAAAATCCAATGGCATGTAATCACAACCAGTATTAATACACAAACCACACACTATTACACTATTGTCTCGTTTGTAATACTTCACAAGTGCAAATTATGTATAGATAAAAAATATGATAGCACTTATATCAACTGATTCTCTTTTGTTGGCGACTCTTAACATGCTATAAAAATCCAAAACTAGGGAACAGCCACTTCTTTCAGGTACACTGTAGCCTCTCATCTTGATCTGACTGTCAGAAAGTTGGTTTATACCCATAATCTAGCACACTTGGGGGTCTCTTACCAGGGGGAACTCTGACTTCAAAATTAGTGCAGAGGTGCAGTGAGAGCACACACAGAAGATTGCAATGGAAGGAAGTGACACTTAAGGAAGCAATTGCTTTCATTTACATGAAATACAAATAATTTCTGTTATTTAGCTTAGCTTGTATCTGCTTTTTTCCCAGACCTATAAAAGGGTGCTTTGTACCTGAAAGTTTGTCCTGCATCTCTCCCAACTATACAGTTGATCCAATAAAAATATCACAAAAAAACCTCTTGCCTCTTGCAAACTTCCTGGACCATCATGGCCACAACATGCCAAACCTACTTCAATATATTAATCCAGCCGTATGATTCTTTTCCATTTCAGACTGTTTTCTCAGTCATGAGATATGACAGTTCTTTACTTGGAAAAAATTGATTTTATTTTCAGCTATTACTTACTTTCACACACTTGTCAAGGTTTTGATGTATATAGAACACATGGTTTTCATGGGTGCGGATGAGGGGGTTGGGGGAGGGGTGGTGAATTAATTGCATTTCAGGTTAGATTTTCTTGCCCTTAACTATTAAAACACTCACTAAAAAGTGAGTGTTTTTGTTTTTTTTTTTGGGTTGTTCTCCCGCCCTGGCGGGGGGTCGGGCTAGAAGATCTATTAGGTCCCTTCCGACCCTGAAACTATGAAACTATTTTCTACAATGACTCCAGATTTATGGCTGCGAGTGCAGATGTCATTTGAGTCATTGACTGAAGAAATTAATCCCAGGTGTTGGTTTATTGACTGACATTTGAAAGTAGAGTTATTGCTTCAAATTACAAATCTGTTTTGCTCATGAGGTGCCACTCATACTTTAGACCCCACCTCAAAAGAACACTGATGTTCTCACCTGAGTGTGAGCCAGCAAATTTATAGACAAGGCAATATTGAAACATCCCTCCTTTAATCAGCTGATGTCAGGAACTTATTTAAAAGAAAACACACTGAAGACTTTTGCCTGTAAAGTTTAAATTGCTTTTGAAGTGGTGTTTTGTAGATGCCACATTTTCAATGTTAACTCTTATATTAAAAGTCTCCCAGGATTTTTCTTTCTTTTAAATAACCTGTAGTTTAAGTCTTACAAATACCAAAACTGATAAATTCCATCCCTAAGGAACTGAGATGTAGGCAATATTTCCAACATGCCACTTACAAGGTTTATTAAAACCAAATGTCTTCTCTCTTGAAGAGACTGAGTACTGTTCAAAACATGAGTTTATTTACCTAAAAATCATAGAGAACTCATTCAAATTATTCTGTACTGGTGTTGGTCTATTGATATATATACATTGAGTCACTTTTACAAAGTGTGTTGTGTACCTGGTTAACTGGAGCGGATAGAATATGAATATATGAAACTGAAAGTATAAAAACATACTTAGGCATTATGTATAGTTAAGTACAATATAAGACTTACTCCTAACACATTCTCCTCAGGCTCTACAACTGTTGGTAAATTAGGGGTATCATATTTCTCAATGAGCTGTGCTGTTGCATCTGCTGGACACTGATCAGTAATCATCTTCTAGGATAAAAGTTAAATTTGATTAAGAAAGGAAAAAAAATATGACCAACAATCTGTATAATATTATTCACTCTAAAGCCACTGGGATTTTACTTTTAATTGCAGTGGGAACATGATTAGACCCATGGAGAATATTTAAAAATAATTCATTAACCTGTAAGCGCTAATGGCTCTCAAGTGTCAACCTATGTAAAACATTCAACACATATTACCTAGCAGCTCACATTTAAATTCTTCATTTCTGCAGTGTCCAACTTCATTCATAATGCTGATGTAAGATTTACTTCAAATGTTAATTTAAGGAGCCAGTCTCTGGAGTCTTATCTACACTGGGGAATGTTTTAGTTATTGCTAATTCTGCTTTGGCTCAACCAGTGTTAGTGACTTTGGGAACCATAGATGAAATAGCCTAAAGGATGCTGGCAACATTCTACACCCTGTATTGGTTAGATTCAACGCTGTTAAAGCCCAAAGGGATCATCCAGCCTGACTTCCTATAGGCTGCTAAAATTCACCCAGTTACTTATTTATTGAGTTCAATAACTTGTGTTTAACTAAAGCAAATCTTTCAGAAAAGCATCTGGTCTTGATCTGAAGATAAGAGACTGAGTATCTACTACTTCCCTTGATAGTTTGTCCCAATGCTTATTTCATTATTACAAAGCAAACAAACTCTGTGACTTATTTCTTATTTTAATTTTTCTGGCTTCAGCTCCAACCACTAGTTCTTGTTATATCTTTTTTTGGTAAGGAGCTCTTTGGTGCCCAACCTTTCCTCCACAAGATATTTATATATCATAATTAAGTCATTCCTCAGGGCTGCTTTGACAAACAGAGGTCTTCAAATTTCTTACTGTAGAACAGAAGTTAGCAAATTTTTACCACTATGGGTCCTGCTTGCAACCCAATCCCTGCTGTGGCCTGCATCCTCCTGTTGATCAGCAGATGCCATGAAGGGAATAGATATAAAAAGGTGGGCAATGGGACCCTGGGGATGCCTCTTCTGTTGCTTGGGCATATTATGAATTCCCTGAGCTATAGAAGGCCAAATCCAGTCTCTCCACAGGTTGGATCTGGCTCAAGGGCCATGGGTTGCCAACCCTACTGCAAAACATTTTTTTCCTCAGGTCTGCAAAAGCATTTTAAGGGCTCTCCAGTTTTTCAACATCCTTATTAGACTACTAACACTACATCTTAGGGCAGGGGTGGGCAAAATGCGGCCATGGGGCCAGACGCAGCCCGCCAGGCCATTCTAGCCGGCCCGCGGGGCCCCTAAAAATTTATAAAATTAATATTTATTTGCCCCTGGCTGCTTGTCATGTGGCCCTTGATGCCTTGCCAAAACTCAGTAAGTAGCCCTCCGCCCAAAATAATTGCCCGACCCTGACATAGGGTGACTATAAGGGACAATGTGAAACCTGGCTGGCAGGCCAGCTGCCCCTGCCCCCCTCTGCTCCAATGAGTCAATGGCCCGTTAATGGCCCATTGTTCTTCACTTCACAGGTGTTAGCAATCACCTGTGAAATAACAATTAGTGTTAATAGGGCTTCCTATTTAACAGCTCCTGCAACTTTGCCTCCATACCCTGGACTCTTGTTTTAATTTTCACCAGCCAACTGGGACTGACCTTTGAAATCTGGGACTGTCCCCACCAATCAGGGACATATGTAGAGTGTCCACATGTGGATTAACACGTTAGTTAATGCGGATTAAATCTTGTACCTTTGGGCACTTTTACGTGTGCTCCAGGGGTGGGGAAGCAGTGCTTATATTAGAGCCTCTCTGAGAGCGGCTCTAATTAAAGAACTGCCACGTTTCCTGTATCAACGTCCCTGAGCTTAAAAACGGCAGTGGGGGCGCTTGAACGAGCTTTAATTTAAGTGCTCCCACCACCATTTTCAAGCACAGGGACACTGATACACGAAACACCAGAGGCTGCTGCAGCGTGGCAATTGTCACACTCCAGCAGACTCGACATGCTGGAATTCCAGCGTTTTGAAGTAGCCTCCATGCTTGTGTATAGGTGCCCTCCATTGTGAGGTACTGGGAAATGTGCATTAGACTATTTTAATGGGCATTATCTAAAAACAACAGCTTTCTTTAGTGATGCTTTAATGCGCATTAAAACAGGCTGATGTGAATTAAAGCGCCCAAGGTCACCCTACTACACTCTATATGGTATTCTAGTATATCTCTCATCAGTATCATTTATAGAGGAAAAAGATCTCCATAGTCTTATTTTTTAAACTTCTGTCTATGTATTCAAGGATGCACAGCATTGCATGGGAATTCATGTCAAGTTGCTTATTCACTGTGACCCCTGGTATTTTTCCTAGAATCTTCCAAGTGTATATATTGACCAATGTCTTCCTTGATATGGCATGTTGCAGAGTGTTGGCGTTTCAAATATTATTGCAAATATGACTGAGGGTCTGAAAAGGAAATTAAAAATAATCCTTTGGTTACCTTATCATAAGCACAGGGAATTGGACTTGATGGCCCTCCAGGATGCCCCTCCTAGTCCTGTATCTTTCAGGAATGACACAGGTTCCTTGTTCCTAGATACATAACTTTGCTTTCATTCACCTGTATTAAAAGGCACTTTGTTCCAGATTGCTCTGAGTGACTTCACTTTCCCCATCATTATTACCATTCTGCCAATCTTTACATCATCCATAAATTTTACTAGTTGTGATATAGTATTCAAAACAGGACAGAATTTATACTTGAAATTCAAATGGTTTTATTGCTGATGAAACTGGACTAGGTATCAGCAATAGAGAGAAACATTTGGAAAATCTTTTCCAATCTAGACAAAACTATAGAAGCTGCTTATGATTTATGTAACAAGGCAGACAGAAGTGACAATATAAGTACAACTAGACTTCACAGAAATGAAGAACATAAATGTGTGCTATCAGATAGTAATATACCAAATGCCATGAACTAAAAGTGATAGAATTTAAAGTACTCTCACATCTATAAAGCGGGTACATTTATTTACCTACCTACTTTAATTGCAGGGGATTGGAAGGGTTAAATTGAAAATGTTGTAATAAACATTTTAGCTAAGAGTTACCATATGCTTTCAGATTAGTGCTGTACATGTTTAAAATTTTTACTGAATTTTTGAGCATGTCAAAATATTTATGAAGTTTCAATTTAATCATTTCATATACAAGTTAAACCTATCAAACCTCATGTTGCTCTTCAATTTCCTGCTTGATCAGAAGCTCTTCAGCTTTCTGATTTTCAATCAATTCCAGGTGTCTTGTGACCTTTTCCTGTTCTTGTTCCAGCATGGCTGCTTTAAGTTTCCTCTAGCATTGCAGATACATTATACCATTGACAAATTTAAAAAAAAGGATGATTAGAGTAAGTTGTATTAGGGACACATTTCAAAATTGATTTTTTTAAAATGAAAGCAAGCTTACCTCTTCACCTTCCTTTATATTTTTCCTGTAGTTATAAAGCCAATGTGCCAGGTAATCAATGGGGTCTGCTGGGTGATGTTCTGCCACTTCTGCAAGTCCCTCAGCCAAGTGCTTTCCGACACATTTTCTGAGGTAGCGTGTATCCATTCCCATCTTCTATCAACCGCAGCAAAGTACGGGAAAATGAATTTGTCCTGATCTAAGATAAAAGGCATTAAGTAGGACACACATTACATATATTACACATGCTACACATTACATTACATGTAATGCTGCACATTACATATATTATGCAATTCACTGGGGAATCACCCAAGAAACGTTGACTGGCCACATATGCCAAGTAATTATCACACCATAAATATGGCTATCCAGCTATAAAAAGAGCCACCCAGGTACACAGCTAGTGTTTGAAAATGTGTAACAGTTCTAGAGCTGCTTTCTATCCATCTTTAATCTGAAGGTGTAGCAGGGCCCTAAGGCCCCCTCTCCTTGTTATAGGTATCCTGCAATTAACTGATTCATTGCACAATTACCTTGAGACAAGCTACATATGCAAAATAGCTAGGATGCCATAAAAAGCTCCAACTAGGTGTAAAGTTAGACTCAAAAGTACTGACTTTATAGCTGGTTGCTATCCAGCTTTGAGTTGTGCATATAGCCGGGTTTCCCCTGGCTGGGAGCTGTGGGGCTCCAAGCTGAAGGAGCGCACCATGCCCAGACAGGGCTGTGAGTGCACACCTGTGGGGACTCAGCCTCCGCAGCTACCCACTCTTGGTCCCAGCAGAAGCCCTCAGCTGCCTGGCCCCAGTTCTGCAGCATCTGCCTCCTGTTTCTGGCATGGTTGTGATCTCCCGG